CTTCTCATAGAACAAACATACATGTTCATGGAGAGACTGTAGTGTTGAAGAATCCCAGTAAGTGCATGATTTGACGACAGAGAAACAAACTGCATATATGGACATAATAAAATGCTTATTTATTGCTGACTGAGTATCATTTGTTAATTCACTGCACATTGAAATGGAGGCATTTGATTGTAAGGCAGTGGTTGATACATAGTGGCATTCATCAATATGACCTATAGTAAGGGACTGTGCCATAATTATCTGGAGGGGGGGTCTAAAATTAGCAAAGTAGGCCTTAAAATAAAGTTGCACCCCCCTGAATTAGAGTTAAAATAACTTCTTGTCCACCCCCGTCTAGAGGGGAGATTACGTTCAACCCCCCCCTCCCCAACCTCCGATCCTCCCTACATCCCTCTTTACCTTTACACTACTTCTGGTATGTCTGCATCATCAATAAATAAAACTTGGAAGCTGCGCTCCACATAACCGTCGCCTGATGAACCACCTTCATACTCGGTTGACTCCTCCTCAGAATCACTTGAGGTATCATCATGAGAACTGGAGGGCATGTTTTCATCATCATCTTCGATGTTTTCATCAAATGTTCTTGCTACAGAACCATCTGCATGCTTAAGTATTCGCTCAACTAATTGTGCCTTGTTTCCAGATACCATTAGACCTTCTTGCCTTAGATAGAGCCGAAGTTGCTTGTTAGTCAGTCTTTCAACATCGTCTCTGCTCTCCCAACAAATATCTTCTGGAATGGTGTTTCTTTCCAGATTTCTTTTGTCTGCTTTTAGAGCCAAGAATTCAAGGTGCTGAAGATATCTTCTGCAAGAACTTTCGTCGATGTTAAGCTTTAAGCATGCTTGCCGTATGGCCTGGTTATCAGAAGAGGTCACTTTCTTTTCAACAAACATCTTCTTCACTTGTACACTAGGAAGGATACTGTCAACCTCGCTTGGAGCCAAACGAGGTTCATCAACTGGGAGATACTTTCTTGGCGAAGACGGATCAAGGGCTGGCAATGGAGATCGTGTAATGGGAATGCCACCTGTCCAACCTTCTTCCTCGCATTCATCGCGATTTGCCCGCCGGAAAATTGTCGCCTGCGGTGCCCGACACAATCTGCTATCAAAGGCAGTTCTGCCAACTAATATTAAGATCGATGTCCTTCAAAAATGATCTAATGTATAAGTGGAAGGCTCTACTTGGTTACTTTTCCTAAAAACCACCCTACCGATAAGTTTTCTAAACTCTTTCTTTATGTCTCTTTTAAAAAAAGCATAGAAACATTGGGTTAATGGCCAAGTTTAAAAGCAATACAGGAATTTTGTGTTGTTGATCTTATGATGCATTTGTGTCGGATAGTACTACAAGACTACAACGTAAATATATTCCATAGCACACAAGAAACACTCCAATTACAAGACCCATCATTATTACTGCAGACTTCTCGTGATGAGTTTTAAAAGATATCCGATGGTTAAAACGTAACTGTTTTCCTAGGGTGCGTGCTGACATATCATGTTTCCATACATGATGTAACTATAATGTATCGGTCAAATCGAAGCTTCAACATACTCCCCCCGGGCAATCCCCGGGGAGGAGGGAATTTGATTATCAGAGTCTTCCAGGGGGTCGGGAATTTGATCCCCATGCGTTAGGGGTGGGGAATTTGATCTGCACCCTCGATTTCATGTGAAATCTCTGGCGTTGCGAGCTATCATGGGGAAAGTGGTGTCGGGAGGATTTTCGTGGAAAAGATTGTGCCTTTGTGACCAATTGGTTACGAGGAAAGGGCTTAAACAAGCTTTGTGCCGTATTGAAGATATTTAAATTTTAATATTTTTAATATTGGATTCAGGTTTTGAATATATGAATATATGAAAGTCGTGTTTACAATGAAATACAATACCTATTACCGGCGATTCAATGCAACAATAAAAAGCTCAACAGAGGTCAATTACTTTGACCTGCCGCATGTATAAGGTGATCGATGAATGGTCATGATGTAGTAGGTAGGATTTTTTCTATAGAACGTTTTCTATGTTGCAGGACACACGAAGAAAAGCTGAGCATTCAGTGACCTTGTAGCAGCGATTTCCGCCGTTTTGCACGAGAATTTTGTTTGTACTAAATACGCTAACGGTGTTTCTCAGTTCTTGTTATATTAAATTCCAATTATTTGCTATATTTATAAAGATTTTGTTCGACAACTGAAGGCTGCTGTCCTTCTGTTATTTATGTGCCTGTCAAATGTCTCCGGGGTCGGGGCATTTGATCACCTGAATGGACCCTTGTGTGGCGCGTTTGGACGGCATTTAACAATAATTTTCGAAAAAGTTAAATGCCCGGGGTTTTGCGGGGGGTGTTGAGACTTCGATTGGACCGATACATAACAAGCTAGAGAGCCCATTTTGATGCGAAAGCGCCGTTGAACGGGGCATTCATAGAATATCTGTGGTCATTAATATTAAGTAGCCTGTCAATTCCTATTGTTTTTGGCAAGGCTCAAGTTTACACATCCTCGGAGACCCAGAGGCAGTCAGTCGGATCGGGTGAAAAGGCGGGACGACAGTTTTCAAGTACGGGCAAAAGAGCCGGTAGTTGTTTCGTTTGTGGTTAGGAAAGTAGAAAATAAAAGTTTCCCTTGCAAGCACAAGCTTGGTGAAAGAACCGGACAAATAGCCGTCGTGTACGAACTCACGAAAAGAACTCAGAAGAAACTGTTGGTCGATTTGGCACAATAGTACAAAGCATTTTTTGTGCCCAATCAGGAGACGGCATCCGGTTGAATTTTTGGAAATAGTTCGGTGAGAATTGAATAGGTACCCAGGGGCTCTTTTGCCCGTAATTGAAAACTTCGTCCCGCCTTTTCTCCCAACCCGACTGACTGCCCCTGGGTCTCCGAAGATGTACTAAATTTGCCTGAATAAGTTTCCGCCATTGTCATTAACCAATGAGAAGCGAGAAAATAAAATTACACATCAATTAAACAAGACATATATGAGCCCGCAGCATGTAATCTGCCTAGTAGTCTGTTTCGCTTGAAAAGCTGAAGAAGAAATGGCTTTCGAAGTCATGAAAAATGAAAATGCTTTGTCTGCATTATTGTACGTTACCAAAGGCATGCGTATAATGCATTCGTTCTAGGTCTTTAAATTTTCAGTCAAAATTGTTGTCGCAGACTATGCTCACCTGATAGCCTGCGTAGCAAGCGTTTCCGTACGGTTTCGGAACAAAGAACGAGAAACGAGAATCCCGTTCCTCGGTCTCTATTTGCTCCGAAACAAACGGAAACGCTTGCTACGTAGGCTACTCACCTAACATTAATGGGCAAACTCTTTATGTGTTTAACAATAAACAGTTTAGTATAAAATATTTCATGTAAACGAAAATAGGTAAAAAAAAAAAAAAAAAAAGCTCCAACTACTGAACAGAGCATGCAAAGGTATTAATGAATAAAGCAAGGAAAAAATAAAATGATCACGATGTGAAATAGAAATGTTCCAACAAAAGACTCTTTCTTCAGGAGACGAGACGAAATTTCGTCTCGTCTCCGGACCGTTGTAAACCTTTAGCTTGATTCTCACAGTCCGGTTATTATTCGTTATTCTAAGACAATTTACATAAAGACCTTTCATTCGTGAAAAGTCAATGATGTTGGTGGAAGCCTTTAATTGGCGCTCTGTCTATAAAAACACAATGTCGATAAGTTTTTAAAGGCAGTTGTCATCAACTGTGAAAAAAAACACACCCTGCCAAAAACGTTTTGTCTTAAGAAACCATTATATTTATTTATAAAACCTTGTTATTTTATAATCCTTTCAATATTACATTACGCAAGACGCCTGGAGTGTCATGTCGATATGTATGATCTTTAACATTTGTTATCAATAGCTTATCAATCAATTAACAATATTGTTTAGTTGAATCAGTTAAATGACTTCTTTTGCATTTTTATTTCGTATCGCTAAATTTGGAAGGTTTTGTGGTGCATTCAGCATGCAACGTTTTTAATATCGTTCCGGCTACGACCAACTCGTCTTCCCATTTGCGGCTGGGCTTCCTGACCAACCAACCATGCATCGTTACCTTAATTTCTTAGTCACGATCATTTCTACAGAATTTAAAGGAAAATTAGCCTTACGTTCGTGTAACCATGGCAAAAAAGGTGATAAGTTTGCCGGATAGCTACCTTCCTTTTTCCATAATAAGTCATTTTACACTTTAGACGATTTTTATCATTTCAGTCACATCTGCAGGTGACTGAGTTGAAATAAACTTGCACGGAAAGATTACAAAACTACCAGTTGACTACAATCTTTGTGTTTTTCTCACAAGGAAATAAACTCATATAACGAGAAAATCGTACAGTTCGGTTCAGTAAATTCTAGCAATGCATCGCCGTTAACAGAGTTGATTACGACGGCTATTGAAGGAACGGCCAAATTGGCGCCAAGCGTTTGAAGTCACGAACCTCGTACTTCTGAACTTGACAATCTTGTTTTCCCTCGTCAAACTGGTATTCAGAGTGCGAGCATACGTTTCAGATTGATAAACCGATGGTTAGACTGTACAAAGCGAACGGCTATTAAGCCTGGGTTCAAAACTGTATCCAAGAACCACATGCTCAACAAAGACCTTACTCGATTGATGCAAAGTCTTGCTCGAGTACGCTAAAATCGCGCAAGTGAAGCAAAGCGGGCTTTGTTAGCAGGGTGTCAACATAAAATTATACTTTATGTCATGATTTGAAACTAAAAAGTTCCATCCACAAGAATTGACTTGCGCCTTACATTACAGTGAACCTTGATCTTGTATTTTGTATTCTCATAGGGTTCAAAGGTTCTTGTTTTCTCTCCTAATGAAAAGTCCAAGCCTCACACATTTATCAGTCTTATACTAAATAGCTCAAGCCTTTGACACACGTGCAAAAAAGACTCACATCCTACAAGAATGAGTGACGCACGTAAAGCGGTAGGCTTTAGTTAACATTGTTATTTTCTTTAAAACACAGCGCCGACAAGTCTTTGAAACTCTTTCTTTATGTCTCTTTTGAAAAAGGCATAAGCCAGCGGGTTAATGGCCGAGTTTAAAACCAAGAAAAGAATTTTGTAGTTTTCATCATTACATCGCGATGAGGATAGTATTAGAAAACTACAACGTAGATACATACCATAGCAAACAAGAAACACTCCTATCACAAGACCCATCATTATTACTGCAGACTTCTCGTAATGGGTTTTAAACGACACCTGATGGTTAAAACCTAACTGTTTTTCTACGATGCGTGCTGACCGATCATGCCTGCGTACGTGAAATATCATTGATACAAAGCAGAGTATTAATACAACAGTTGGAAGGAACTCGAAGCAAATTAGATTTAGCCATATAAACAGGACATCCATTGTTTTGAAATAAAACACATAATAGATAACTTTTAGCGCATTAAAACTAACTGTTAGACCCCAAGAGAAGAAAATAACTTGAGTAATTCGACGGCGAGTCATCAAAGTGATCTATTTCAGAGGATGGACGATGGCAATAAAACGATCCAGTACTAAGCTGCATAAGTTTACAACAGACGTGTTACTAAACAGCAACCGTACGAAAGTCACCCAAGACATCAAACCGTGAGGCCAGTGGCAGGTGTTTGTAATGTCGCACAAGAACATTGAAGGAATAACGCCCAAACCAACACAGAAATCCGCCACGGCAAGTGAAACAATAAACGCGTTTGTTTTGGTGCGGAGATTTCGTCTGCTGCAAACGAGAAAGATTGTAAATCCATTTCCAATGATGGTTAAAAATGAAAGAAACCAGCCAAAAATCCAAAACCAGGTCTCCATCTTAGAAGTTAAAGGAAGTTTTTATCAACTGTAGAATATAACCAACATCTTGCTTAAATATTAGGGTCACGTCACGGAGCGTTTTCACATGACGTCATGGCGGCCATAATGGTGTTTCAAAAAAATAGAAACGGCGGCCATGGTGGTATTCCAACCAACCCTGTGAGAGTTGAACTCTTGTCTAACTAAAACGTTCTCTTTTGTTCCAATAAATTTGCACAGTTGCTGGCCACTTGGGTGAAAAGTAACGCACTCTTTGTTCTTTTAATCGTCTTAAGTATATATGTAATAATTGGTCAATTAATCTCATAATAATTTGCCTTGGTCTGTGTATTAAATGCTGACCTTACAACGTTTCTTCGTATGTTTGACAATAAAATAGGTACAAAATGTGTTAATGAATTCTAGGAATATAATACATCTAATACATTGTTAAAGGCAAAAGTGTTCTTTATCGCTTAATTTCGAAGATTTTATTATGTAGCGTTTTTGAAAATACCGTTCCAGCAGTGGACATCTCGTCTTCTCTTTTAAGGTTTCCCCCCTAGTTGGGTGGGGGGGTCTTGAGAAATTTTTTTCGGTGGAAATGTGCCTCTCAGACCCTGGAAAACCTAGCCTATACTCCTGGTTCAGCTGAATTTTGCTACACTTTACTAAACTAAACTCCCCAAATCCCTCCCTATACAAGAGTTGCTCTCTGATTTCTATACCCAATCCCAGACTTAACTGCATGCTTGAAAACCGTACCCTATAAAACGTCACATTATATATCCCATCTGGCAGTACTCCCTCTGCGGGGGTGAGGTTGTTCACCGAGTTCCTTTATTACAAATTTTAAAGAATCCATAGAAAAAATCTTTTCGCTCGTTTGAGTGGGGCGAATATGAGTATGACAAATTTTGATAGCTGTAATAAAAAAATGCATTTTTCCTTTCTCCTTCAACTAAAAGCCTGCTAGTTATTTTATAGTTTAGACGATTTTATGTTGATTCTCTCCAGCTCTTGAACAATAAAGAGGACAACTGTTTGCATATTAGATAGTTTACACAATTACACAAACAATTTAACAAAATAGCGGAAAATGTCTGACACGTTTTGCGAAGAAAATGCAATAGCCAGTACTAATTACTGCCCAAGACTATAAAACACCACGGATGACAATTTAACAATTAGTTCATGCGTCAGCGTGCGTATGTAGAGATATTGAGCACCCAGGAAGTTTGGAGAGCACGTAAGAGGTGTAAGAGTTGCTCGAGGCGCAGCAAACTTCCCAAGTGCTCAATATATATATATATATATATATATCGACATACGCACAGCTGAATCATGAACTATTTGTTTTATAACATTATCAAAGCTATCAATGCAGCAGTTACCTTAAATTTTCATTATCATAGCGTGCGCTCAAAGCAGTACGCGTAAATGTCTACGTGACTATGTTTTTTTACCTCACAGTTATGTTTTTGTCTTGAAACTGAGAGAAAGTTTAATCAACTCGCTTAAGATTTCGGTCAAATACTGAGGTACCGGAAGACTGTTAATTCACCAAAAAACTATTTTTGAAAGAAACAGCTTTGCAAAGAATGATTTTGTTTTCTCTTGTCAAACTGGTATTCAGACTTCGAGTGTCCGTTTCAGATTGATAAACCGATGGTCATAACCGATCGATGAGCCCTCTGTTTAAAGTGCACGGCTATTAAGCCTTGGTTCGAAACTGTATCTAAGCAGCACATGCTCTCGCTATCTTTGTTACTCGATTGATGTAGAGTCTTCCTCGAGTATGCCAAAATCAAGCAAGTGAAGCAAAGGCTTTGCTAGCAGGGTGTGATTACAAAATTATGTGAATCTCGTAAAAAGTTCCATCCAATAAGAACTTGCGTCTCGCATCACTGTTAACCTAAGTCCTTTCCCTTGTATTTTGTATTCTGTTAGGGCCCAAAGAAATTGTTTTCTCTCAAATGCGCCATTTTTCCAAATTTCAATTCGCTTTGAGTTCAAGCGTCACAGATTTATCAGTCGTAGCTGAAACCTTTCACACTCGGTCATATAAGACCTACATTCTACAAGAATGAGTTACGCACTTCAAGTGGTAGGCTTAAGTTAACTTTGTTATTTTCTTTAAAACACAGAGCCGACGAGTCTTTTAAACTCTTTCTTTATGTCTCTTTTGAAAAAGGCATAAGCCAGCGGGTTAATTGCTGAGTTTAAAACCAAGAAAGGAATTTTGTAGTTTTCATCATTACATCGTGATGAGGATAGTATTTGAAAACCACAACGTAGATACATACCATAGCAAACAAGAAAAACTCGTATTACAATACCCATCATAATTAATGCAGACTTCTCGTGATGGGTTTTCAACAACATCTGATGGTTAAATCGTAACTGTTTTGCTAAGGTGCGTGCTGACTGATCATGCCTACATACATGAAATATCATTGATACAAAGCAGAGTATTAACAGAATACATAGAAGAAAAGTGGAAGTTATGTTCAGCCAAACAAAAAGATAGGGATTGTTTTGAAATAAGACAATACAAAGGGTATCTTGTAGCGCATTATAACTAGCTGTTAGAACCCAAGAGAAGAAAATAGCTTGAGTAATTCGACGGCGACTCGAGTCATCAAAGTAATGTATTTTAGAAGATAGACGATGGCAATAAAACGATCCAGTACTAAGCCGCATAAGTTCAAAGCAGACGTGTAACTAAGCAACAACCTTATAATATTCACCCACGAAAACCAATAATCAGGCCAGTGGCAGGTGTTTGTAATGTCGCAAAAGAACAGTGAAGGAATAACGCTCAAACCAACACAGAAATCCGCTACTGCAAGTGAAACAATAAATGCGTTGGTTTTGGTGCGGAGATTTCGTCTGTTACAGACGAGGAAGATTGTAAATCCATTTCCAATGATGGTCAGAAATGAAAGGAACCAGCCAAGAATCCAAAACCAGGTCTCCATCTTCCTGTTAAAGGAAGTTCTCATCAACTGTAGAATACAACCAACATCTTGCAAATATATCAGGGACACATGTCAACTGGTTACTATGGGGCGTTTCTAAATGACGTCACGGTGGCCATAATGGTGTTTCAAAAAAATGAAACGGCGGCCCTGTTGGTATTCCAACCAACCCTGTGCAAGTTGAACTCTTGTCTAACTAAAACGCTCTCTTTTGTTCCAATAAATTTGCATAGTTGTTGGCCATGTGGGTGAAAACACTCTACTTGTTCTTTTAATTGTCTTTATATGTAATAATTTGCCAATTAATCTCATAATAATTCGTCTTGGGCTGTGTATCAAATACTGACCTCATAACGTTTCTTCGTATGTTTGATAATAAAATAGGTACAATATTTGTTAATGAATTCTAGGAATATAATAAACAATTATTGGATGAGGTTTTTGTGATATCCAGAATAATCAAGGTCGGGGTAGGGGTTCTCAGGTTCTCTCATTTTTTTCTCTTTCACGTAATCAGCAAACAGCTTTGCCACCTTCGTCGACCTTTTTATGTTTGTGAGTCCTTGTCTTCAACTATTTTTTCGATGTCTTGCTCGGTCAACGAAGCAAACCTGGAAGTGGTGTTTTTGCTTCTTCACTGACGGCCGAAAAGCAACAAAAAGCGCGAGAACTTGACATGATTACCCTTAGAAATCATGCACCGCGGTCATGCATGACATGATTACCCGTGACCTTGAGTGTCCTTGACATGAGTATATTGTATAATCTGCAGATAGATGACGTCCCAGACGCTGATTTTGAAAATTCACTGTACGCTTTCGGCCAATCAGAAAAGAGATAGTAAGTTGAATGTAGAATAATACATCTAATACATTGTTAAAGGTAAAGTGTTCTTTACCGCTTAATTTCGAAGATTTTATTATGTAGCGTTTTTTAATGTACCGTTCCAGCGGTGGACATCTCGTCTTCTCTTTTAAGGTTTCCCCCCTAGTGGGGGGCTGGGGGGTCTTGAGAAATTTTTCCAGTGGTAAAGTGCTGCTGACACCCTGGAAAACCTTTAGAGGCTATACTCCTGGTTCAGCTGAATTTTGCTACACTATACTAAACTAAACTCCCCAAATCCCTCCCTATACAAGAGTTGCTCTCTGATTTCTATACCCAATCCCAGACTTAACTGCATGCTTGAAAACCATACCCTATAAAACGTCACATTATATATACCATCTGGCAGTACCCTCCCCCCCCCCGCGGGGGCTAGGTTGTCCACCGAGTTCCTTTATCCCAAATTGGAAAGAATCCATAGGAAAAACCTTTTCGATGCTTTGAGTGGGGCAAATACGAGTATGACAATTTTTTTTAGCTGTAATAAAAAAGTGCATTTTTCCTTTCTCCTTGATCTAAAAGCCTGCTAGTTATTAAGTTATTTTATAGCTCAGACTTTTGACGATTTTATGTTGATTCTCTCCAGCTCTTGACCAATAAAGAGGACAACTGTTTGCATATTAGATAATTTACACAATTAAAAAAATGGGGGAAAATTTCTGGCACGTTTTGCGAAGAAAATGCAATAGCCAGTTTTAATTACTGCCCAAGATATAAAACACCACGGATGACAATTTAACAATTAGTTCATGCGTTAGCGTGCGTATGTAGAGATTTTGATCACGCAGGAAGTCTGGAGAGCACGTAAGAGGTGTAAGAGTAGCTTGAGGCGCAGCAAACTTCCCAAGTGCTCAATATCTCGACATACGCACAGCTGAATCATGAACTAATTGTTTTATATCATTATCAAAGTTATCAATGCAGCAGTTACCTTAAATTTTCATTATTATAGCGTGCCCTCAAAGCAGTACGCGTCAATGTCTACGTGACTATGTTTTTTTACCTCACAGTTATGTTTTTGTCTTGAAAGTTTAATCAAGTCGCTTAAGATTACAGTCAAAAAGATTTTAAAATCCATATTGAGGTGGCGGAAAACTATTAATTCACCAAAAAATCATTTCAGTTTGAAAGAAACAACTTTGCAAAGAATGATTTTTACACGTCATAGCCCGCACAGCTCGCGCAGATGACAACAACAACACTCACCTCTTTTCCCCACTATCGATTAGCAAATTCAAAAGTTTTCTCTTAAATTTACGTTATAATTATAACACACATGGTTAACGCTTTATCGTGTACTGTTGAGCTGTGGATGCACTTGGGAGACGTCTTGGGAGGATTGCTAAGCTCAAAAGAACTATATACCTTGGCAAGGTATATCGTTTACTGAGTAAGACGTCATCAGCGTGCTCAATGGGAACATGAAGCACGCTCCCGCTATAGAATTTGAATAGGCGAATATTCTAGCTATGTTATAAATAGTGCTCCCATCGAGCACGCTGATGCAAAAAAATAGCTAGTGTATTCCTATGATGTAGTAAAGTACCAACTGGAGCATTATAAGAAAAGAAAGGGAAGTATTATTAATGCAGGGGCTATTATAAATGGCCTTGGATATAAAACCAAAAGTGAACCACAGCAGCTGTGAAATTTTGTTTGTCGAACCTAAGAAAGTGTTACGTAATATTATTTCAATATACAAAAGAAAAAGACCTAATTTGTTTAATTCCACTTCCAACACACTATTAAATTTATATGCCAATTCACAAAACTAGTTTCGTCTAACGACCTCTTCAGTTTAGCGCCACAATATCCAATAGGTAACAATGCATGAAAAATAAACCCCAGTAATAAGGCTACTGGGTTAATTACAACAGTCTTAATGGGATGCGGACGTAATTCCATTCACTTTTTTTTTTCACTTTTTTTCACTTATAACCAGAGGGCGTTTCGTTCACTACCCGTATCGTTTACGTTTTATTTAAATCACTCGTTGAAACTTTGTAGAAATGAGAACCCTGAGGGTAGAATAAACCGATGAAATATCCTCACGCAAAGAAATTAAGCCTCGGACTCCTCTTTGTTACTCTGCCTTGAGAGAATCGTGAGTTGGATACTTATCAGAGTTTCAGCTAGAGCAGGGGAAAACGTAGTCCTCGCCTTAAATTAGGAATTGCATTATTATATTTTGATTTCTACCAAATTATTGAAAAATTGACCGGATGAAACCTTAAGCCACTCAGGACAGAACTATGTTATACGGTTTGTTTTTGGACCAATCAGAAAGATTAGAATTTAGATATTTTACGTATAATACTGACAAACAAATCATGATGACAAATATGGTCTATACCCTCCTTCCCGCGAGAGAAAAATAATATTTATAATTATAAACTTCTTGATACTAGACAAAGGGCATTTTCAAGCACTTTAAGTAACAAAATAAATAACCCATGTTCGATATATCAAATTTTTTTTGTCTGCTGATTGTCACATTCGCAAGACCTGGGTCCCACATTAAGGTCCCACACTATCCACAGGATTCATGCTGTTTTTGCGCAGCTTTTCAATAGGCTCTGATGTCTTAGTAATATTTGTTTTATGAAGAGTCCTTTATAGTCAACTACTTAACAAAAGGCAAATACACTTAAGTACAAAAAATTCAAAGCAAACTGTTGCAAACTGTTTTGAAACTCGTAGTCCCGGAGAGGATTTGTCTTTGACTTATCATTTTCATTGACGTTTCCTCTAAACCGCGAAACCACAATAAAAATCGATAAAAACCGAGAAAGTACCGATTTGAACTATGAAAAAGGACAATTTCGCTACTCCTATGGTTCTAAATTTTGAAAGGCTGACTTATGCACGTCCTTTCACTGTGATTTTACGAAAACGTTTTATTTTATTTTTGCCCTATTTACGAATGGACCAACACCAACTCGTGGGTGAAAAAGCAAACGCCAAGTCGAACCAAGCCGAAAAGCAACTTTAAGTTTGAGTATTTTGACTTCAGCATTCACAAAGATATCAGAAAAATGTTACGTACAGTTGTACTATATAAAGATGAAAATTTGTCATGGCCCATGTTTTATTGATATCGGAGTTGCCATGGTAACGCAATGACGCCATTTCCTTTTTAACCTGCCTTTGTATTTCTTGGTACCAGGAGTTTTTTCAGAAATCATAACAGTCCAGTTTTTAATTCGTCGTGGCCGTTGAATAAAAGCGCCGAAGACTTATTTGTACAGGGTTAGCCTCGAGTCAGTTGGGGAGCAAGGGTGGCGCGGTGGTGAGAGCACTCGCCTCCCACCAACAATGTGGCCCGGGTTCAAATCACAGCGTCGACTTCAAACGTGGGTTGAGTTTGTTGTTGGTTCTCTCCTTTGCTCCGAGAGGTTTTTCTCCGGGTACTCCGGTTTTCCCCTCTCCTTGAAAACCAACACTTCCAAATTTCAATTCAATCTGGAACGCACGGACAGGTTTACACGAGTTCAGTGAACTCCTAAGTGCTTCGTGGGTAAACAGATTACAATTTACAATTTACAATTTGCAAATTTAAAGAAAAATATTCACAAATACAGGCGAGAAGGTGCTGAATTGGAGTTTAAAACAATGGACACAGTTGTACACAGGTTTTTCTCTGACTGGAATTTGCGAATATATTTACCTTAGGTCCTGAGCCTAGCACTGTTTAAACGAGTCTTCATGGTCAGTCCTTCCATTCAGCGGCCGTGACGAATTCGAAACTGGACTATTTAGGCAGTGAGGGGAGGTACAAGCTCCCTTAATCGATTTGCAAGAGAAAGTCCTGTTACCGAGAAATACAAAGGTGAGTAAAATACGTGATGGCGTCATTTCTTTGCCACGGTAACTCAGATGTCCATAAAACATATATCACCAGTAATAGTTGACACTACAGCTGCCCCCGCTCTGTATATTGTCGGGCTATAGTATTCTTACTCGTTGTGTAGCTCTTTGAAATATACTGATTTCATAATGAAGATGTTCACACATATTATTCCATACGATAGGTGAGATAAATTCAGGAAACGCAAGGTTCCATGCACAGTTTCGGTTCGATTTACACAGCTTTGATCAAAATATTCTCAGTTTCGAGA